CCTTATAGACTAACAGACGTATTGGAGCATGAGCTTTCGTGGGTGAAAACTCACTTCGTCAGATGCCAGACGAAGTGGGTATTCACCTACGAAAGCTCATGCTCCAATACATCTGTTAGTCTATAAGGTGCCACAGGACTCTGCTGCTTTAAAAGAATGTTACCCCTGACTTCCTATTGAAGGCAGGTAATATTGGTGTGAATGACCAGCTGAAGCCCAATCCACTCCCACGTAAAGCAGGATTGAGCCCTAGTCTGTGATCACAGGTAAGGAAGGGGACTATAGTCTTTACTCACAAGAACAGCCATTAGGAACCCCATGGGTGCAGAGAAGTTACAGAAGATCAAAATGATCTAAAGGTAATAGGTACCACCAAGCAGTCTAATACATTGAAATGTTCACTTGCATTGTAAGCCCTCTGCATACCAAAAGGATAGCTAGTTGTCCTTGTCACATGAGCCCCAATAAGAACTCCTTACAAAGCATGGAGGGATGCCAAAGTAAATATGCTCTCACATTCTTTGTGGAGCTTTGAGAAGAAAACTAATCACTGATGGAGATCTTGCAATGTAGAAATCAAGTTTAAAATAGCAAAGCAACCCAGAGTGTGGGTATTGCACACAAATTGTGGGTATTAAATTATGAACCTGTTTAGCTTATGGTAAACATATCAAATGTTTATTATGGTATTGTTTTGATGTTGCAGTGAACATTGTATCTGTATTTGCATTATATGCTCGAGCTTATTTTCAGGAGTTGCTATATGGGCTGCAAAAATTTGCTGTTAGCTAAATCTTGACACTCAAAGGTTTAGACAAAGAATGAATATTTTCTTTTTGAGGTAAAAATTTTGAGGTAAAACATTAGATTTTTTTTTCTACATGATGGAAAGACAAAAATAGTAAATTTGTCTGTTTTCAGATAAACTCTTGTGCTCTAATTAAATAACATTGTTTTTTAAATTGAAATTTTCTAGCCTACCTGTCTAGCCTTAGAATATACAAGGAAATAAAAAGAAAAGTCAGTTCTGGCTCATGAGATGAGATCTGAAATATTTCATAATATCATCATGTCACAATACCATCCCAAAAGGTCCCATGCTGTGGGAAACCATCCCTGAAGGATGGACAACAAGTGAAGGCAAAGCATATGAGGAGGCAGCCAACCAAAGAGGGCCAAATTCCCAAGTAGAACCTTGCATTCTCATGTGGTTGGCTCTGTTCCATTTCTATTCTACTCTACCTTGGTATCCATGGGCTTTTCTACACTTAAAACGTTACAGCAGTACAGCTGTGCCACTGCAACTGCGCTGCTGTGGCACTTCTGTGTAGTCCCTACCTATGCCGATGGGAGGGATTCCCCTATCAGTCTAGGTAATCCACCTCCGCAGGAGGCAGTAGCTAAGTCAACAGAAGAATTCTTCAATCAATCTACAACTGTCCATAGGGGGACTTAGGTCGTCTTAACAATGCTGCTCAGGGGTGTCTTAGGTCGGCTTAACAACGCTGCTCAGGGGTGTTGATTTTTCACACCTGTGACCGAGGTAGTTAAACAACCTAATTTTCTAGTGTAGACCAGGCCTAAGTACCTTCCAGTAGCGCATTAAGCACCATAGAATCATAGAAATGTAGGACTGGAAGAAACCTTGATAGGTCACCTAGTCTAGTTCCCTACACCGAGGCAGGGCTAAGTATTATCTAGATCATGTCTGGCAGGTGTTTGTCTAACCAGTTCTTAAAAACCTCCAGTGATGGAGATTCCATAACTTTCCTAGGTAGTTTGTTCCAGTGCTTAACTACCCTTACAGTTCAGAAGTTTTTCCTAATGTCTAACCTAAATCTCCTTTGCTGCAGTTTAAGCCCATTACTTCTTGTCCTGTCCTCAGTGAAGAACATTTTATCACCTTCCTCTTTATAACAACCTTTTACATACTTAAAGACTGTTACCATGTCCTCTCTGAATCTTCTCTTCTCCAGATTAAATAAACCCAATTTTTTCAATCTTTTTCTGTAGGCCATGTTTTCTTAACCATTAATCATTTTTGTTGCTCTCCTCTGGGCTTTCTCCCAATTTGTCCACTAACATGATTAACATCTATCACATATTTTTGTTCTCTCATCCTTCTCTGGGGAAGAAGTATGTGCTGTGGAGTATTTTGTTTAATAACACACACGCATGTGCACACACATTCCTATATGTTTCTATTAGAGAAGGCAAGATGCACTTTGCATTTAGAGAGCATCTGTGATACTCCTTAGTTCCTAGGGGAATTGATTCCGCAGTTTTGGGCCTTCCACCAAGAAAGCTCTGTCTTTTGCACAGATACCCTCATTGTAGTTCCCAGTAATTTTGTCTTCTAGTGTCAGACAAGCAAAAGTGTTCCCCACACCTTTTTCAAATTGCAGGTCCTGCCCCTTTGCTTTTTGTATGGATAACTGAGATGTGAACAATTCTCAGGTGGTGTTGTAATTGCATTTGATTCACAGTATCATCATATTGTGATGCACCATCATGACTTTGAAACACTAAGCCTGTCTGATCTGGAAATGCAACATTTCAGGCACACTCTCACATTGCAAACTAAATAGCCATCATCATTTCTTACAACTGTAATAATGAATAATGGTGTTCTAGGGTGCCTCGTCATGTCACATTGAGAGCACTGCGGGAGGAGCTTGGAGACTTCCTGGGTGAAGATGCTGTTGCAGATAAGTTTATATTTCTGAAACATATAGGGAAAAAGCTAGCAGTGGTAAGTTATTTCTGCATTTTCTCTAGATTTCTTCTTTTGCATTTTTTTGAAACTGGATATTAGACAACATTTTATACTTTTTCTCCCATTAAACTTTTCTGAAGCAAAACAGAGAAGTTTTTACCCTGCTCTACTGAGATTGTCAGATATTTAATAAACTATTTTTTCTTTAATAGTTAGAAAATTAAAATATCCTAGCATAGATAACTGGACATTTTTAGCACCAAGCTGTAAATATTGTTTTAATCTTGTGAATTTTAAAGTAGTCGTATGCAGTTGGTATAATCTTCCTGTTTGTTTGGGGTCATGGTAACCTCTTGTATTTATATCTCTGTGATCAAATATTTGCTGAGTTTTTCAGTTCTGCTGTTTCGCAACAGTAACAATGTAAGCTATTCCAAGAGCTGCACCTTTCTTACAAAGTAAGGGGAATTTGAATTAGGAAAACATTTGAATTAGGAAAACGTTAACTTTTTTTTTTTTTTTAATAATTTGACTGTAGACAGTGAAATCAATGTTATTGCCTTTGAGTAACTGAGAACAGAATTTTGTCCTATATTTAGTTTAATTTAATTTATTTCATTGGTTAAAGACAGGGTTAAATAGAAGTTCAGATTTCTTATTCTCTATAAGACACACTGATTTCAAATATACTCTTAAATATGCATTGATCACCTGAGATTTTGTTTATTAAAAGGACTAAGTGAAAAAAATCTGAAAAGGATGTAGCCAAAGATATCAAGACAACTAATAAAAAATTCCTTAAGCACAGTAGAAGTCAGCAGGAGAGTCAGTGGATTCTTTTCCTACATTAAAATATTTGCTTTGTTTTAACAATTGAATTGAGAGAAGCATGTTACTTAAAACACACTTCCTGTTCAGACTGGGCCTAATCCAACTCCTAATGAAGTCAACAGGGAGTCTTTCCACTGACTTCAGCTGGGAATTGGCTCACGTCCTTTGAGCCCTTAGTGAAAGCGTAAGGGGGTGAAGATATTTATAAAAATACACACACACTCCTGTTCGGCTGATTATAGCACACATTTGGAGTCTGACAAAAGTACAAATGAATAGATGTCATGTCAGAAAACAGAGAATTGTCGTCTGTTCTTCCCACCCAAAGTGCTAGTGTAATAAATGTAATTTATCATATGTAACTTACAAAGAAAATAACATACAAATGGAATGGTATGCTGCATTCCTTTTGCAGAAGTATTTTGTTGATTTTACTTGCTTTTTTATGTTCCAAGGTGAAAGCAAAGCAAGAAACAGAACTGAAACTCAAGTTATTTGCTCCCCCACATGTATGTATCATATAATTTTCAAGTTATCATTTCAAGTGTGCACTTCATGTCAATTATTTCTTCCTTGTCTAATTAACATATGGTATGTTTTAGGCACTTCATCCCGAATTATATTTGCTCCCTGGAGTGGACCACTTAGAAATTGCTTATTCATTATCAACAACTCCAGATACACAGCACTTTAATGCAGAATCCCATAAGTCTCCCCATGGACCAAGTACTTTAAATCTTCCAAAGAAAGAGCATGAAAAAAGTCCAACATTTCTAGAAAGTCCACAGAAAAATACTCTCATGCAGAATCAGGAAGATTCTAGTTCTTTAGGATGGAGTGAGACAGAAAAAGAAATGATTTCAGTTTTGCACATAAAACCTGAACAAAGCCTGAACAACAGGACTTGGGAAAAACAGATTCCACGTAGAAGGAAAGGTAAGATTTAACTAGTACGGGGAAGGGAGAATGAGATGCTTTGGTACAGACCTAAACAGGAACTGAAAAAGAAAATGGCCAATTACACTATAAAAACCCAAACAAATCCAAACCTGTTGAAATAATGTTAGAAGACTGACTTAAATGATCAAATTCAGATCTGAAGACGAAGCCATTTCCTTCACCTAACTGTACTATACTAACGGTCAAATAATTTACTTTTGTACTTCGCATTTGGTGATTTTTGTTGTTGTTCAGATTGACTTGTAAAAGAAGGGAAATGGATTTCTGCTCTTTTTTGCCTGATTAGAATGCACAAAGTAGGCCTGAAAGGGTGATTTTTTGTTGTATTTCTTTAATGTTTTTTTTTTTCAGTTTAATTTTTACATTACAATACAGGTTTTTTTCTTCTCTGGGAGAGATTGTGGACAGCTGGAGAACTGGTGTGTTTATGACATCAGGGAGGTCATGCCATTAAAACTTGATTAATTGAGATTTAAAACTTTGTTGTTTGTTTTGGTGGTAACGCACACTTAAACCAAAATACTCTACAAAAGGAGGGAAGAAAAGATCTCTTTCAAATATTTAACACCCAGCCTTTTGAGTTAAGGGCTGAGAAACCTCACAAAATACATGAGACCTCCAACATGTTCTCCATCAAAGCTAGAGAAGATCAGACTTGATGTTTCTTTTGCTGTTTCAGGCCTTTATATTTTATAAGGAAGCTCAAAAAAAAGAGAAATGTCATGTTATCTGAAGTGGTTCACAACCATGAGTGCCAATTTCAGGTCAAACTGTCAGAAAACAGGGCAGACACCCCAAACTGGTGGTATATCTATAATTAGATTTCACCAAGCCAGTAACATATGTGCATGCCTGGATCACTATATTAGTCTTACCATGGAGTCACAAATAGTCCTCCTACCTTGCCACCCAGACAAACTGCACTTTATGATATTGGTCACTATACCAAATATCACATCACATTAGGGGTTACTCCCAACCCCAAAAGGCCAGTCACTTACCTAGGTCAAGTTGGTACTCCAGATCTCACCAAAGACAACGCTGAAGCCAATTTCTCTAGTAAACTAATTAAGGCCATGTCTACACTTACAAGCTCACAGCGGCACAGGTGTACCGATACAGCTGTGCTGCTGTAAGATCGTTGTGTAGCCACATTATGTCGATGAGAGAGAGCTCTCCCGTCAACTTAATAAAACCAACTCAACAAGCGACGGTTGCTATTTCAGTGAGCGAGCATCTCCCGCCAACATAGTGCTGTACACATGAGCACTTATGCTGGAAAAAACTTATGTCACTCAGAAGGGTGGTTTTTTCACACACCTGAGTGACAAAAGATTTGTCAACGTAAGTGCTAGTGTAGACGTGGCCTAAAGGTTTATTAGCCAATAAAAAGAAATAAGAGTTATTGAGAGGTTAAAACAGGTAAAATACATTAATAGGTGAGTCCAAGTTTGTAAGTCCAGAGTGATAGCAGAGATGTGGTAATCTGCAAGTGTTCTATAAGTCTCTCAGGGTTACCCACAGTAATTCTGGGGATCTCAGTCCACTTGTTCAGTATTTCACCCTGTTAGAATCCAAAACACTTCAGAGATACAGGTATGGTTGCCAACTTTCTAATTGCACAAAACTGAACATCTTTGCCCAACCTGCCCCGCCCCTTCTCTGAGGCCCTGCCCCCCACTCACTCCAACCCCCCCCCCCGTCCTTCTGTTGCTCACTGTCCTCCACCCTCACTCACTTTCACTGGGCTGGGGTGGGGATGCGGGGTGTGGACTCCAGGAGGGGGCTCAGGGCTGGGGTAGAGAGTTGGAGTGCAGGGTGCGAACTCTGGGAGGGTTTTTGGGTGTGGGAGGGGGTTCTGACCTGGGGTTGGGGTGCAGGGTCTGAGAGGGAGTTAGGGTGAGGGAGGGGATTCCAGCTGGGGGCGGGGGTTCAGGGTGCAGGCTCCAGCTGGGTGGCGCTTACCTCAGGCGGCTCCCGGTTGATGGCGTAGCAGGGCTTAAGGCATAGTCCCTGCCTGCCCTGGCTCCGTGCTGCTTCTGGAGGCAGCCACCATGTCCGGCCAGTTAGCAGCCAATGGGAGCTGCAGAGGTAGCCCTCGGGGTCGGGGTGGCATGCAGAGCTTCCCTGATCGCACCTGTGCCTAGGAGCTGCAGCGACATGCCGGTCACTTCCAGGAGCTGCGTGGAGCCAGGGCAGGAAAGGAGCCTGCCTTAGCCCCATTGCGCCGCCAACCATACTTTTAATGGCCTGGTCAGTAGTGCTGACCGCAGCCGCCAGGGTCGCTTTTCAACCAGGCATTACGGTCGAAAACCAGACGCTTGACAACCCTAGATACAGGATCGATCCCTGGATCCATTCTTATAGCACCTTTTCAGGAAAGGCAATCTGGCAGCCATAATCATTTGCAGCATGGGCTCTGCCTTTGTTGATTAAACACAAACAGAGTCTGTGAATATGCATTGTCAAACAAAATGACCCATGCTTTGAAGTTAGCAATCTTTTATATTTCCAAGTCTCCAATCTTGTGTGACGGATAAATGTAATGTAAACACATTGTGACAGCCAGAAACAATCCTTCATTAGTTTTCATCAAGTAAATTCCCATCTTAATACTAACATACACTTTTGATCTAGGAAAAAGCAACAGAGGGTCCTGTGGCACCTTTAAGACTAACAGAAGTATTGAGAGCATAAGCTTTCGTGGGTAAGAACCTCACTTCTTCAGATGCAAGTCTGAAGAAGTCTTGCATCTGAAGAAGTGAGGTTCTTACCCACGAAAGCTTATGCTCCCAATACTTCTGTTAGTCTTAAAGGTGCCACAGGACCCTCTGTTGCTTTTTACAGATTCTGACTAACACGGCTACCCCTCTGATACTTTTGATCTAGGGTTAATTAAGAACAGGGATATACATAATGTAATGCGATGGCATTCAACAGGTTACAAATAAGAGAAGACAATAACATTAATATTTTTTTTATATCCACACACAAGTTAACTGTCCTATTCCTCCTAGCCCATGTAACATTTATTTGATATTCACACACAAGTGAATTGGCCTATGGCTTTGATTTGAGCTGGTCTGTCAGCATCACAAGCACAATCCCATTTTCTTCTCTGAGGAGGCTCAAATTAGGGAAATGACAATTGGTTGGAAGCAGGAGAGGGATATTTTCCCTGGGATGTGCCAGGGTTGAATTGGCAGCCTGAGAAATCCAGCAGGTGTGTAATTTGTGCCACATATTTTCCATCCCCGGGTTCTCATTGAGAGCCTCTCTTGCATAGGCAGCATGGTTGGTAAAACAGATGTCACAAGATCTGAAACTGATGTAATATGCAAACTTGGCAAGGTATACAACCAATAAGTCCTATGATGTTTTATAGCCTTGGTCCTTGACCTGTTGTTTATCACCAAGATCTGCATGGTCTGAGATTCTGTAATGTGACCATGAACTCCACTGAGAGCACTGAGTTTAGGAAGCAGGGACATTTCTTTTGAGGGGCCTGTATAACCCTGAAATTCTCTCTTTCTGTCATTGGTGTCATCTAGGGGAAAGCTCAAAATCTGTTTGTTTCCTTTTAATTTTGTGTATGTGGTCTGGTTATACTTATTCCTTACTGCTTTGCTATGAGACATATTTGGGATGTGTTGCTCTTTTGTGAATATCACTTTTAGTTTGTTTTCATTTACTAAGGCTTTCAAAGGTCTTCAGCTATTGGACTCTGAAGAAAATAAAATGTATGATTATTAACATTTTAAAGGGCACATTTAAAATTATGTATTTCTTTTCCCATGTAAAACTGATCAATTGTAATGCAGACCAAATTGGATCCAATGAATCTCTACGCATACCAAGTAGTTTAAATCCCACAAAGTGGGAGTCTGCAAAAAATCCTACATCTTTGGAAAGTGCTCAGAAAAATCATCTAAGCCAGGATCAGAAAGAATCTAATACATGTAGGTGGAGTCAAAAAGACAAAGGGACTATTTCAGGTCATCATGTAAAACAGAGCACTGAACAAGCCAAGAACAATGAGACTCAGGAAAATCACATTCCCCCTGGAAGAAAAGGTATGATTAATCCAGTCATCTTCTCTTTAAGGCTGCTTTTTAGAAAGGGGGCATATAAAGCTAAACAAGAATAAAAAAATCTCTAATTTCACTATAAAAACTGTTCAGACAATGTTATAAGAATGATTTGGAATCACAAAAGCAAAGGAATCCAATTCTTTTCTTCACCTCACCCTGTTGTGCCAAAGACACAGTAAAATGCTCTAACTGCATCCACTGTTTTGAAACCCTTGCAATATATAGGCCCAGTTATGTAACTTAATGGAATTTCAGCATAAACTCTAAATTTTATTGTGGAGAAATAGTAGTTAAAAAATTTGAAGCCCGTGTTCTGTTATAAAAAACACTTTGACTTCCGCTTTCCTATTTTCCTCAAAATCTACCTGAAATTTTGCAGCCATTGTTTTATGCTGGGGTAGAATTTTTCTGGAAAGTTTGAAGCAAAATGGAAAAGGCCTTTGGGAAATAAGGTTGAAAAAATGAAGTGAGCTTATTTCTTGAACATTTTCTTGAATTTGTTTAGTTCATCATAACTCCAAAATGGTTTGGTTTAGAAACTCTGAATTTGCTTTAATCTGTTAGTGTTTGAGATGAAGACATTGGGAGGCAAGTTTCCATGTTTTTCAGATTTTCTAGGTTAATTTCAAGACTAGTTTTTTTTTGACTGAACCAAAATGTTTACAATCTTAATTTAAGTTTAAGAAAGTTTTCTTTCCCATCTGGAATTTATCATTTAACCAGATATACTAGAACCTTCAGATGGTAAATGTAAACTTTTATTACAATCCATAACTAAAATCCTGATTTCGTTGAAGTCAACAGCAAATCTCCTATTGTCTTCAGTGAGGCCAGGATTTCATCCATAATTTTCACACCATATGCCTCCTACTGTAATGGTCTATCCTTATTAATCTATGGCATGAAATATGGGTTTATGTCAATACACAAGGTCCAATTGTCCCATTTTTCATTCACACATATGTATTTCCTGTTCTCCATTTGACTGATATGATTTCCTCAACATTTTCAATATAAATTCCTAAAATTAGGCTCTTAAATCCATTGCACCTGCAACACCCAAAGAGTTCAGTGTAGATATTCAGTATCCCTGAAAATCAAAATATTTTATTCAGATGCCTTATAGATTTAGGAGCCTAATTTTAGACAGCTGACTTTCAAAATTTTGACTTACAAATATAATTTTGTGGGTACACTAATATCTTAATTTCCACAGTGAATAGATGTTTCCTCATGTACCTTGTCAAATACATAGTGAGATTTTAGTTATTGTCTGCCAGTGTCATTCACAGAAAAGGTCTAAAGATCTAAAAGATATGGGTGTTAATGGGTTCTGGATCAGGCCCAAATTACACAGTCTAAACGCCAGTTGACCTCAATAGAAGTTTTGCCTAATAATTGAAAGATGGGACCCAAAATTTTTAACCTGTGATATCAAGGCTCATTATATAATAAATAAATAAAGTGGTTGAGCAATTAATCTATAGACAGCTGCTTTATTGAGCTATTTTACACTTTAAAATGAAAGCCTTTTAAGATTCTCCCAGAAAAAACTTTCAGAAATCTGCAACTACGATTTATCCTGGCTGAGCCTTCCTTCATCCCTGTCTGCTGATACAGGGAAATACTTCAACATGCTCAGTGGATTTTTGCATGAAAAGACTTTATTTCCATATGATAATCAGGAGCAATAAATTATTAAAATCCTTTATCAAGAATCTGAACTAGAATACGATAATGGGGAAAGTAATTTCATTCACTTCAATTTTCATTGTTAACCATATCTACTGCAATTTACATTTAGCCATGCTTGTAGTACTCAGAAAAGGAAAATATTTCTACTGTCCTCCCACAAAGTAGAATTTTAATTTGCTTTTACAATATTAAAGAGTTTGACTCCTAAAACTGAGAATTGAACATTTTTCCTGAATAGACTATAATGGAAATAGTACAAAGGTGTGGGCGGGATTAGAGCAAAAATAAAGCTAACAGTTATATGCCAGAATTGAAAATGTTTTTTTGAAAGAGATCTGTCAGCTACACATTTTCATCTAACACTGGATGGTTGCTGAGTACTGGAAGCCAATATTTATAGTAGTCTCTTCAGAATGGTCTCCTACCTTACTTTACTACCTGATTAAAAGGAAATAATTGATTAAATGGGTATAGTTGGATTGTAAGTGACAACTGATGTAACGTTAGTAGTTTGCCTATGACCATCTTCTTGTCTTTCATTTCTGAAGAAGATATAATAAAGAAAGTACTAATTAATTCTTTGTTCAGCATCCATTCTGATGGAATTACAGTTTTAAATCACATCATTAATACAATATTCAAAATCTGATTAAAAAGTTTTACAGTCAAATATAAAAACCTTACATTGTCCTACCTTAGCATTATCTGATAAAACTTCTACTGAGAAACTACTAGATGCAATAATATTCCAAGTTTTCAAGTGCACTGGTACCATTAAATGTTAATTTAGGCAACCCCCTGGATGTCCAGCAATTTGGATTAGCACCCAGTGGTTTGGATACTTATCAAAGTTTTAGCCAAACTTCTGTTTTACAATGGGAAAAAATGATGGTTCAGAGAATCCCTCTTCTAATGTTGCACATTTTCACGTTTTCAAAAACTCTAAGATTAATTATACAAAGATATAAGATTGTATTTTATTTGAAAGGAGTGCATCCTCTGAATCAATATTTTCATTTTGAACATTGGATCTTAGTGTAATTGCCACTCATTTTAATAACATTGAGAATATACAGATTTGATTTAGACAAAATCAGAATCTGCCTTTGAAGTCAGACACTGGAAGTATAAATTACTGGATTATCTTTTTTCAAATGAAAAATCAGGAAATGTTCAAAATAATATTGTATGCAGTGTAGTTGACAGTTTCATTTTATTTTCCCTAAAGCAAAACAGTGAGCTTTCTAGTTTTTCTTAATGATGCTAACAAGATCTGTTTTTAACTTGGTTCTTTTGGTGGGCCATTGGTAAAGTCCAAAGGGACCCTTGAATATTGTATATGTTGCCTAAATATTCTGTACTTTGCTGTAGAAGAAATCCCTATGGTGGTGGCTGAAAATGTGGAAAATAGAGGCAATCTAAAAGCTATCAGGATGGGAAGAAACACTGCAGGCGATTCCGGTATTCCAGAATCATTGGAAGATGGAGACAAGGAATATTTGCACAATAAGAAAAGGTAATTATAGTGAGTAGTTCTACTGACAAAATATTTCATTAATGGAAACTTCTTTAAATACTTCTATTAACTGAAACTGAGGAGAAAAATATACACGAATTAAATTTAAGACAAATTTATGTTTTTTAAATTAATTTTTACTTGGTACTTTGATTTTATCTTCAGCCCTCAGCAGTCTGGAATTAGAGAATCTGTGACTGATATTGGTATCAAACAGGATGATAAGGTATGTTTTCAAAGATAAAATATTAGTGGTAGTATAAAGAAATAGATCCATTCCTCCCAGCAGGAAAATTCCTAATTTTCAGTACAGCTGGCTCAGGTTACGAAGATGCACTATTCAAATGTAGGTTTCAGTATAATTGAAAAAAGTTGATTCTGCTCTGAAACAAGTTTGCAAATGAAAAATAGCAATCAATGAACCCCTCAAAAGCAGGCATTACAGTGACTAGCAGCTTGTTTCATTTAATAGAGACTACGTTTACTAGTTATTATCATATTTTTTAAATCTTAACTGAGTTTGATCCTGCTCATTACCAACCATAAATATAGATTTATTGACATTTATTGACATTGGCTGCTTTTTAGTAATTAGTATCCATTTTCTACTGGCAATATCTTGAAGTCCTCATTCAAGTACAAATGCCATTGAAGTATAATATAAAAAACCACGTATGTTGAGACTTCTGAAAACAACAGGTATAGTATAAAGCCAAAATTAGAGCATCTTTAAAACTGTGCAGAAAACACATCTGAGGTCCTGAGTACCACTTAAACTCGGAAATTAGAGCTCATGTGGGCCCTCTGCAGTGGTGTGACTTTTGATTGTTAGTTGAATTACTTTTGTATAATCTTATGAAAGGAATTGGACAACACAAAGGCTGCTCTTATGACTTCTGCTATACTTAGAGTAGAGCTGGCTGGAAAAAATTGAAAATTTCAATATTTGACACACATTTTTACAATTTTTCCCACTTTTTTTTTAATTTATTTTCACACAGCTCTACTTTACAGCAGTTTAAAGTTCTGGGTTTTTTTTTAAAGGAAATGATTGTTAGTTGTCAGAAGGAACCTTACACCAGCTGGATTGTCTATGAAGAGGTACTTTTAGTACAAGTTATTTTTATACTATCATAAATTATAGACAGTGTGTGTGAATACACATATTTACATTCTTTTTTAAATTTTATTAATGATAAAAGATAACCACACATAAATATATTTATCACTCGATGAGAAGAAAGCTACATAATAAAAAAGATTACCACAAATCTTTGAATTCAATACATTTCTCAGGGATAGTGAAAGATTCATTACAGTATCAAAGGATAACTCTTAGAAATGTATAAGAGAAATGGAAATCTCATAAAAGTTATGTGAAATGTTAATATTCAGCTTACTCTGAAATGTGATTCTATAAAATTGGCATTGTGGAGCTTCTTGTTGTATCTCAATGATTTCTATATAAAATATTCTCAGTTTACAAGTAAAAAGATGTTTTTCTATCAGCCCTAAAATTCAACCTGGATTTGAGAAAGAAGCTAGGTTATTTTCTTCTCATGCATCATCACCAGAAATTAAAGTTCTTTAGGCTAAATTCTGCCATCAGATTTACCTCCGCAACCCTACTGCTTTCTTTTGGTTTGCAGAGGTCTGACTGACTGGAGCTTAGTAAACATTTATTTTGATGACACACAAAAAGAAAGCTTAGTCAAAGTCAGACCTCCCATTCACCCATGCATTCTTATTGGGCAGCATAGATTAAGGAGATGGCTGAGTTTGGCCCCTCGTGCATATTACATTAATTAGAAATGTTTCTCCAAATACAGTACAAGTATTCAAGGGTGAATATTATGCATTTATATACTTTTCATTTGCCTCTAGACAGATAAGAATAACATAAATCGTCTTGAGTATTCAAGTCAATACATTTCTCCTCCTCCTCCACCGTCTCTTTCTATAAACAGATCTCAAGTTCCCATATTTCAGACAGAGAGTAAGTATATGCTTCCAAGAAATTACAAGGAATTGAACCTTTATTCAAGATGTGAATGTTTTTTTAAAAAGGTGAATTTATAATTTATGGAGCACTCCTGGAGTCGGCACTATGTACCAGATCACACCTGACAGCTGAGATAGGCAGGGGAATGCTAGTCCATGAATCTCCCTGGTGTTCAGGTGTGAGCTAGGAGCTGAACTGCTCAGCACCATCAGAATGTAGATGGCTTTGCACGTGCCCCAAGACACTTAGGGGATTCTAAGAGTGGAAACTTAGGCATCTACAGGATTAGGTGGCAGCTGGGCAGTGGTTCTGCGAATGCCCCTGGCATCTAAATGTTGGACTTAGGTGCCTAAAAAGGCAGTTTGGTGCCTAAGTCCCCTTTCTGAATCTAGCCCCTAGTCACTAACTAACCATTTTGTTGCAGTATATTTAGCAAAATGCTTTCAGCAGGAAATAGCCCTCGTGAGTTTTTGGGTATCTGGCAACAGTTTTCTACACATGTAGTGTGTTTCCTGTGCCTTCCCTTTTAAATATAGTTTTAGTGATGTATATGCATTTAATATGGATATTAGTTCTAATTCATTTGTGCATTTATAAAGGACTGGGTGCATTCTGCATTTATATAACCTTTTTCTGAAGCATCAAGTAGTGGCCAGTGTTAGAGATAATATACTGGACTGTGGGAATCCCTACTCTGTGTTCCTGCAAGGGACGCAAACTGAAAAAGTTGGGCATGCTTTATGGTACATGCACTTCACTGAGACATAACTATGGCTGGCCTTTTCCACTTTTAGCACCCAGAACTTTACTAAGTGTAGGTTGTAATTTCTTTAGAAAGCAAGATGGTTGAACAACTGAAACAAATGAAGGCAGAAAGAAGGCACATGGAAAGAACTAGAGAGGAACTGGTTAAAAAAGCCAAAGGTTTGCTTGAACAAAATAAGCTGAGGAGATATCATGGTATGTTCTTCAATTGTATCATAACTGTGTGAAAGTAAATGTGAAACTTTTTATCTGCCTGTGTCTATGTAGTGTTATAGTATATGCTTAATTACAGAGATAGCAGCTGGATAAACAATACCTCTCAAAAGGCTCATTTGTATGACTAAGTATGGTAGAGAGGTTGAGGACTAAAATGTCTGCTCCCATTGATGCTCAGTAGTACTCCCATAAATATCTATGTCCCTGGATAGTATGAACCATAGCACTGTTATGTTACTTGTAGAAGTACAGTATTCAGAAGGCATCCATAAACCACATCATGGTACCAAGCTCACAATGAGTTAAACATTCCAAAGTGCTGTTTTTAGGAATGATATATGAGGGCATGACAGAAAACTTGTCTACTACGACACATACAATTATTAGCGGCACCCAGATACACCTCTATTTTATTCCATGAAATAACTAGTGACAAAACTTATTTTTCTATAATAACAGATAAAACCTATAGAAACAAAATGTGTACAGAACACAAACTTCTCTGAAAACCAGAAAGCAGGGCCCATGCTTTCTTTTGTGCTTGTACACATAAAACATCTTAATTCTTTTCCCTTTCAATTGTTTAAATAATAAATTAATTCTCAAGACAAAAATATGGTAAGTACCTTAGGGGAAAACAAGCAATATAGCAGGGGTAGGCAACCTATGGCACGCGTGCCAAAGACAGCACGCGAGCTGATTTTCAGTGGCACTCACACTGCCCAGGTCCTGGCCACCGGTCCGGGGGGCTCTGCATTTTAATTTAATTTTAAATGAAGCTTCCTAAACATTTTAAAAACCTTATTTACTTTACATACAACAATAGTTTAGTTATATATTATAAACTTATAGAAAGAGACCTTCTAAAAATGTTAAAATGTATTACTAGCACGCGAAACCTTAATTTAGAGTGAATAAATGAAGACTCGGCACACCACTTCTGAAAGTTTGCCGACCCCTGCAATATAGTAATGCTCCATTTCAGAGGTGTCAGGCAGAATGAAAAGAGTTCTGGACAAATCTGTGGATTCTGTGAGACCCACACAGGGAACCTTAATGAGTCACATGCATCTCTACAGCCATATGTTGAGTGTCACTGCCCAGAATGGTTAAATAGCACAGATACCTGACTGATCTATGGAGCAACGACAATATACAGTAATTATTGATATACTGCAACCTACATTATACAAAAGTCTCAGTGGACAACTGAAAACTTCAACTCCTGTTGGGCTGGTTTCCCCCAGTCATAGAGCCAACGGTCCTCTGCAGGCGTGGTTGGTTTTTCATACTAGGGACTTCACGTTTCCAGTAGAGTCCTGCCATTCCAGTTGTCAACAGCCCCAAGAGTTTTCACCAAGTGCCTTGTGGTAGGCATTTTTAAGATTACAGAATATTCATGTTTACCTTACCTCAAAGACTGGCTCATTTAAGGAACCTCTCCTCAGCAGGTCTCAGACAACATCCATTACATCCTTGCACTCTTTGCCACATCAGGGCTCAGGGTAAGCAAGAAGAAATCACCTGACCTTTCCAAAAGACGGAATTTGTAGGAGCACAACAGCATACTTACTGTCCATTAACTGTGAAGTTGTGGCAGAGCTTATGAGTCAGTTACAGAGCAATCCTCAGACAACAGTACAGGAATGTCTAAGAATGCTAGATTACATGCACTGTGCATGTTTGTCACTCCTCATGCCTTGTTGTATTCAAGGCTAGTTGAAGTCCAGCTACCTATCAAGCAAACGCCACATAGCTATGGCAGTGCAGATACCTCAGGAAGTCCTATTATCACGAGATTGGTGGAAGGATCCTATTCAAGTGTGCAGAAGTGCTCAATTTTCTTCTCCTCTATCCACAGTAATGCTAGTAATGGATGCTTCCAACCTCAGATGGGGAGTGCACTTGAATCAACATCAGACTCAGGGACTATGGCCAAGAGACAAGTCTTGTCTTTCCATAAATATCTTAGAACTGAGAGAAATTTGTTTAGCGTATATGACATTCCATCCTCTAATCCATGGTAAAACAATACAGGCATGACAAACATCTTGGCGATGTTTTACGTAAACAGACAAGGAGGAACAGATCATTTCCACTATGCCAGGGAGCTGTTCGCATATGGAACTGGTGCATCTGACATCAGATTGCCCTGACAGCCATTCACCTTCCAGGATTAATATCCTAGCAGGTCACGTGAGCAGACACTCGTCCTTTAACGATGAATAGTCCATAAAGGATTCAGTCAATCACAGATCTTTCACAAATGGGATCACCCAGCCATAGACTTGTTTGCCATGGAGTCAAACAAGAAATGCCATACCTTTTATTTCAGAAGGGAGTCTGAGTGCAGGATCTCTATCGGACACTTTTCCTCAGCTCATCTCCTGGGCTGACTTACATCTATCCACTGATTCCTCTAATTCTGAGGACAGTGTGGAAACTCAGACGAGATGGTGCCACGTAGCTATTGCTAGCAACTTCTTGGTGCAGGTAGTTATAGTTCTCAGACCCGTAAAGATTCTTAGTATAACCTCCAATAACATTACCCCTGGATCTGGACATAATCTCCCAAACAATGGGAAGACACTCCATCCAGATCCACTTTCTCTGTACCTTACAGCCTAGATGCTGGCTGCCTGACTAATATAGAGAAATCATGTTCCAAAGCTGTCCAGAACATCTTGATTCACAGCAGGAAGGACTTGACAAAGCTCACTTATGCCAAATGGAAAAGATTCACTCTTTGGGCAGAACAACATCAACTCTCCCACTCATTCCCGTGATTTAAAATTATCTATGCTGATTAAAGAGATTTGAATTCACTATTAAAAGAGTACGCCTAGCAGCTATCTCCACTTACCGGTCTCCAATTCACACCCACAATATATTCTCACATCCTACAGTGTCTACATGCCTCACAGAATTAATATATATATTCCCTCCTGTATAGGAGCTACCTCCCTCCTAAGATTGCGCTGTGGCTTTAGCTTGGTTGATGGGGGCTTCCATTTGAACCATTAGCATCATGTTCTTTATACTACCTTTCTGTGAAAACCGCTTTCTTAGTGCCAATTATCCCAACATGTAGAGTAGGAGACCTACAAGCAGTCATGGCAGGGCCATCATACAGTAGTTTTGATAAGGTTAAGGTCTCCTTTAAACCCCAGCCAAAATTTGTTCCTAACATAGTTTCAGATTTTCACTTAAACTGGACTACTGTATTCACATACCTGTTTTCTCCCTGAAACCCCTTTCTAATGATAATAAGAAGAGGCTTTATTTCCTGGACGTATCAAAACTTTTCTTTTTAGTTAAAGAGAACTAAAGGGGGCATGCACAGGCCAACAAACACTCGGGCAAAAGAGTCCAATGCTGAACGCATAAAGCACATGCAACTCATGGACTGCTAGATTCACAAAGGACTGTAAGTGTGGAAATGGTCAGCATCAAACACACGCCCCCCAACTTTTAGGTGCCTAGAAAATCACTGGGATTCACAAAGCCTGAGTGAGTCACCTATGCTCCCTATACAATGAATGGGGCTAGATAGGCACCTTAGAATGGGATTCACAAAAGCCAACATGCTAGGTGGCTCCCCGCCTAAGCTAGCCAATGAGAGCTGCCAAGATGAGGGGTATGTCCTAAGCCCCACTTCTCTCAGGGAGTTTCACATCTAAGTCCAGACTTCAGGGAAGCACTTCCATCTGTTTGGGATTCTTGAGTTCAAACCCCCTCTTGGCATTAGATTACCTGGCTTATGGGAGACACCCACCTCAAGTCCCTCTTCACCTGCAATGAAAGAAGGGATTTGAATAGGGAATCTACTACTTGTTGGAGGAGGTGGCCTAAACATTGGGCTAGAGACTATACTGATGTGGGGGGTTTCCTCAGCCTCTCCTGTTGAAACATTCCACTGTGAAAAATAATGAAAGCGTCATTGGACCAACGAGAAAGAAAGTATGAGGCTGATGCTTGTGGCCGGTGCATTTATCAAGGAGATGGGGAAACCCAAAATCCAGTTCCCCTGCTCCAATGAAATGGAGGGAGCCCTCCCACTCCCACCCAACACACATGTCCACCTAGGGCACTCACCTGAGAAGTAGTAGACGTGTTCAAATCCCTTCTTTTCCTCAGGTAGAAGGGATACTTGGGGGATCTCCCACAACCCCAGTGAATACCCTATTGTGCAAAAAGCTATGTGGAAGGGAGTTCCTCGTTCCCCAGCCAGTTTGTGTGAACTGGCCTGTGGGGGCCCAATCTGATGGATGTCCTCTGAGCCCACTTACTGGACTGGCCCTGCAGGTGAGTTAGGCAGAGGACCTCCTAGCTTCCCCTCATTCATGCATCACACTGGAGCTTAGACATGTGGACGCCTAGAATGAAGCTGTAGCACATAGGCTGCTAGGGACCTTTTACTGCAGAAATGTAGGTGCCAAATGCGTTTAGGTGACTTCAGGATTTGACATCAGTAGAGCAGAGGTTTTGTGCACCCCAGTGGGGCCTGATTCTAGGATGTAGGCACTTAACCTGGCACTTAGGTACCTAAGTCCTTTTGTGACTCTAGCCCCCAGAGTGGACTACATGTAGACAACACATCTAAAAGACCCTCAGTTACTGTAAGGTAAATAATGTTTGCAGAAAGTTTTCTATTAATCTTAGGCATTCTGCCAGGGACAGCTTTAGCATGAGTTTATGGGGGTCATTTGCCCCCCCAAAAATCATAACATTGGGTGCCAAACCTGAGTGGAAATACAACCCTGTGTACTAGGTGACAATGCCCAGCACTGGGAGCCAGCCCCAGCCCTGCAGGACAGGAGCTGCTGCTGCAAGGATAGTGTAGGGGTGGGCTTGTTCTCCAGACAATTCCATCCTCCCCCCTGCCCTCCCCTTTGCACCTGGCTGGAATTAGGGTTGCAGTACTGGGGCAGAGAGTGCTCCTGCTGATGGTCAGTGACCCCCCTTGACGACACCATATTGCACCCACTGAGTCAGGAGGCTGCATCCACCCCTGAATTCTGCTCAAGAACTCTGGACCTGTGGCGTTCCCCAGCTCTGCATAACACATGCTCCTAGTTCTCTTTAGCGCTGGACCTGCAGAACTAATAAACTTTGCAAACCTAGCTCTTTTGTACAGCTTAGTCGTGCAGCGCGGCAAAGCTCCACAGGACTGAAACTCTGGTCCTACAGCGTTCCTGCTGGAGCTTCAGTCAAACCTTAGAGGACAGATCTAGCCTTTAATTTTAGTTGGCTGGGGTCCAGCTAATCCTGTGTGACTGTATAGTTAATGTAATGTTTAGTTTAGCTAAACATTCATTGATTTTAAAAAACAATGCTACATTTTTCATACATGAATAAACCACTGAAGTTGAAGCACACTACACAAGAACTGTGTGCTGTTCATTATTATTATTCCTAATGTACTGTATATTAACCTGATCAAGAACAAACAGAGATGTTGTTGTCCTGTGTAGCTCGTGATGCATGGAAAAAGAAATATTTTGAAACTAAGAAAGCTACAGCTTCATTGGAGGACATTTTAAATAAACTGCGACAAGATGTAGAGCTTTACTATCAAAAGTTACTGTTGCAGCTGGAAGCCAGAGATATCAGGAAACGACCAAACAATTTAACACACATTGCAAACGCCAAGGTAATATCATTTGTTCATATTTGTCAATTCCATTCTCTCTTTCCATGAAATTTGGCTTCTGTATAGAGTATAAATTGTAAGAACAAATTTACCACCATAATCCAGAGATTCCAAACTTTAGTAATTGTTTCCATAGATTCATAGATTCTAGGACTGGAAGGGACCTCGAGAGGTCATCGAGTCCAGTCCCCTGCCCGCATGGCAGGACCAAATACTGTCTAGACCAGCCCTGATAGACATTTATCTAACCTACTCTTAAATATCTCCAGAGATGGAGATTCCACAACCTCCCTAGGCAATTTATTCCAGTGTTTAACCACCCTGACAGTTAGGAACTTTTTCCTAATGTCCAACCTAAACCTCCCTTGCTGCAGTTTAAGCCCATTGCTTCTTGTTCTATCCTTAGAGGCTAAGGTGAACAAGTTTTCTCCCTCCTCCTTATGACACCCTTTTAGATACCTGAAAACTGCTATCATGTCCCCTCTCAGTCTTCTCTTTTCCAAACTAAACAAACCCAATTCTTTCAGCCTTCCTTCATAGGTCATGTTCTCAAGACCTTTAATCATTCTTGTTGCTCTTCTCTGGACCCTCTCCAATTTCTCCACATCTTTCTTGAAATGCGGTGCCCAGAACTGGACACAATACTCCAGCTGAGGCCTAACTAGAGCAGAGTAGAGCGGAAGAATGACTTCTTGTGTCTTGCTCACAACACACCTGTTAATACATCCCAGAATCATGTTTGCTTTTTTTGCAACAGCATCACACTGTTGACTCATATTTAGCTTGTGGTCCACTATAACCCCTAGATCCCTTTCTGCCGTACTCCTTCCTAGACATTCTCTTCCCATTCTGTATGTGTGCAACTGATTTTTTTCTTCCTAAGTGGAGCACTTTGCATTTGTCTTTGTTAAACTTCATCCTGTTTAACTCAGACCATTTCTCCAATTTGTCCAGATGATTTTGAATTATGACCCTGTCCTCCAAAGCAGTTGCAATCCCTCCCAGTTTGGTATCATCCGCAAACTTAATAAGCATACTTTCTATGCCAATATCTAAGTCGTTAATGACTTTATCTGTAAAACAGTCATATGTCCTTCAGAGGTGAGCATAGCCCATCTAGTTTAATCAGAGTACACCATTGACCAGGTTTGTTTTAGGGATTTTATATCTAAAAAAGCTTAATTCGTTTAGAAAACCATTTACCAAGAATAGGAGCATTAGTCCATTTTTCATTTGCATAGTATAAGACAATCTGTTTGCATAGGCCAAGTGTGGACCATCCCTGGTGATCTTACAGATTACTCTTTGTTTGCCCAGAGTGTTTCATGGAAATAGCACACCCAAGTATTCCATGAATGCTGGATGAATGCATGAGTGTACATGTAAGAACACAAAGTTTACTTCTTTTCCACATGGTAACAACTTGTTTAGTTTTGTATAAACTAGTATTTTTTTAATATAACAGAGATTTTTCATGAATGAATTATATGTATCACGCGTTGTATGCTGGTGTAAAGATGTTCCAAATGCTTGTGTGCAACAGCACAGCCATAGCTCTGTGTGTACACTGGGCACAAATATCCTTTAAGTTCATGCAGAAAGATTACAAACTTCCTACTGTGTTGAAGAAGTAGGGAACTAGTAATCTCGGTCTCAATGCCTTTGGTGCACTTGCACTTTGAAAATAGTGTGTTGCTCTGAGACCTACATTAGCAGAAGGAATTGGTGAGAGTTAAGGGAAGAGTAACTAAACTGGTCAGATAGACTGAGGAAAAACTTCCTGACAGTGAAATCTCCTAAATTGTGGAATAATTTGTCAAGGGAAGTAGCGAAAGCCCCTCTGATAGTTAATTTGAAACTAGACTAGCCAAAATAACAGAAAATCTACTGTGGCAAAGTATTTGTGGATGTTTTTGTGTTCACATCTGAAAGCTATAAGAGATAAATACTTGTAAAGCACAATACGTGTAATTATTATTAAGCATGGCTCTCTGTCTGGGTAGCACTGCCAGTATTACAGAAGCATGTGCTCTATCAGTTACTTCTATTACAGTAACTCCTCACTTTGTCGTCCCTGTTAACGTTGTTTCATTGTTACGTTGCTGATCAATTAGGGAACATGCTCATTTAAAGTTGTGCAATGCTCCACTCTTACATTGTTTGGCTGCCTGCTTTTTCCACAGCTGGCAGCCTCCCTACGCTCCTCCCCCCCCCACAGCGCCTCCCGCCCGCTGGCAGACCCCGCGGATCAGCGCCTTCCCCCCCTGCCCGTGGCAATCAGCTGGCTTGTGGCGTTTCACGGGCAGGAGGGAGGGGGGAGGAGCGAGGACTCGGCGCGCAGGCTCCCCCTCCCTCCGCTGCCTCTCCAACGCTGCAAGTGGCATGTAATGTAGATATAGCCGCTGGGATATATAGAGGTTTTCAAAGGCCTAGAGCATCAAAAAAAGACTAACACACACGTCCCCTTCAGCTACATTGACTTCTAGGAAGCCATGCTGATTTACAGCAGCTAAGGATCTGGACCATACTTTTGAAAACACTAATCTCACTGTCATTATAACTAAGCCATTTAATTTTTGAAAAATGATACTGCCATTATAGAGGTGGTGTTCTGTTTAATCCACACTGTTCTTGAATATAGCAGATCGCCATCAATGTCCTGATTGAGACAAAGCAAAGGCATTACATGGGTGAGATTGAGACATTCATATTTTTTTTAATCATATACAGGGTCCAGTCGTGAAGACCAGTAGCAAAATAATGTGCTACTATCCATCTCCCAGAGTAACAGGGCTTGGGAAAATTGTGGGTGTCCCCTCCTCATAGGCCAGCAGGGCTTGACTGTTGGAGGGAGCTGCCCTCCTTTTGAGAGAAGACTGCTACAATACAGGACATTTGAGGGGGGGAGGGGAGTCAAAAACTGAAGGAGGCTTGGAAGAAGAGTTTAGAGGATTGCTGTCCTGGTGCGGGGGAGGGAGAGAGATTATAGTCAATAACTGCAGTGGTAGAAAAATATATATAGTATAGCTGAGCTGCATAAAAGCTTTTTGTTTATTCCCCATAGAACACCACAATCATCCAGATTACAACAGTGCAGCACGAAATTGATCAACTAAAGAGAAAGCTGGATAATACAAAAATGAAACTCATAATAGAAATTAAGGTAATCTGCATTTATTCTAACCAACCTGTACATTAAACAAATAGAGATTTTCTTCGCTATAAAATCTAGAGCCATAAAATATTTGACATTTTTAAAAGTTAGTTAGTATTTGAAGAGATATTATGTTAAAGCAGGGGTCGGCAACCTTTCAGAAGTGGTGTGCCGAGTCTTCATTTATTCACTCTAATTTAAGGTTTTGTGTGCCAGTAATACATTTTAACGTTTTTAGACGGTCTCTCTCTATAAGTCTATAAACTATTGTTGTATGTAAAGTAAACACGTTTTTTAAAATGTTTAAGAAGCTTCATTTAAAATTAAATTAAAATGCAGATCTTATCAGTTTAGTGCAGTGGTTCTTAACCTGGGGTGCACGCACCCCCTGGGCAGGGCCGGTGCAAGGATATTTTGCGCCCTATGCAAAACTTCTACCTCCCCCCCCTCCCCCCTGCACATCTGTTCATTGAGGGGCAAATCCAAACGAGCCTTTATAGACCCCAGGGGCCAGCCTGCTCAGGGGCCAGCCATGCCCAGGGGCTGCTCCCCAGACCAGGTTCCCCCCTCCCCACCCCCTGAACTCCCCTGGAGGGTGCACAGCGCCCCCGCGAGCCCTCCCCACACCACCCCGGTGGCCCCCGCCCCGAGTCCACTCACTGACTTTGCCGGGCTTGGGCCGCTGCAGCAGCTCGGCAGGGAGAAGCCGCCTTCTGGAGGCAACAGAGAGCCAGAGTGTCCCACTTGCAGCGGCGAGCCCCAGCCATGGAGGAGCCGGCGCGGTGCAGGGGGGCAGCAGCCCTGCAAAGGCGACGGCGCTAGCGGGAAACTAGCTCCTGCAGATTGCAGCGGATGCATGTGGGCTCCAGCCCCCATGCGCCCCCCGGCTCCCACCTCGCCTAGGGTTACCATATTTCAACAATCAAAAGAGAGGACCGGGGGGGGGGAGAGAGCCCCGCCCGCATCCACTCCCTCCCACTTCCCACCCCCTGACTGCCCCCCTCAGAACCCCCAACCCCCCCTGCTCCTTGTCCCCTGACTGCCCCCTCCTGGGACCCCCCCACCCTAACTGCCCCCCTAGGACCCTACCCCCTACCTGTCCCCTGACTGCCCTGACCCTTATCCACACCCCCACCCCCAGACAGACTCCTGGGACTCCCACGCCCCACCCAACCACTCCCTGCCCTCTGACAGGACCCCCAGAACTCCCGACCCTCCCCCTGCTCCCTGACTGCCTCCCAGGACTCCCCTTACCATGCCCATGCAGGTCAGACGCTGGCTCCATGTGGAGGCAAAACACGCTGCTGGGCTGCCGCGCGCACAGCCTCTCCCCCGCAGAGTGCAGAGGCAGCGGGAGGGGGGAGCTCCGGGAGGGGCAGCGGCGGCGGCTCACACTTCCAGGAGCCGCAGAACCCGAGTGCGGTGAGGGAGGAGACGGGGGGGGCCCGCCTGCCGCTGGTCTGGGGTCATGGCCGGCCGGCCCCGCGTGCCGTAGGTTGCCGACCCCTGTGTTAAAGCTTTCTTTGTGTTAGCTGTAGCTTTCACTTAAGCAAAATGACCAATGTGCCTACTCCACATCATGTAGTAATAAGCAGCATTCCTAGTGTTTACATTTTCCATGAACTGCATAAACTAAAGCCTTGTCTACACTGCAGTTTTGTTAGTAAAACTCTCCTGGTGTGCCAACCAAACTACCTCAACAAGAGGCATAGAGCTTTTTGTGGCAAAGTTAAAACAACAAAGCATCAGTGCTGTTCGTTATGTTGCCATAACTGGCCTCTCCCAGTATCCCACAACACCCACCGTGACCGCTCTGCTCACTCCAGCTGCCCAGACATGCAGCCACTCCCCTTTCAAAGCTCTGGGAAGTTCTGACAGCTGAGCATGCCGCTCCGGCAGCAAAGAGCAAATCATTACCATGGACTCCAGCTCTCTCCGGCACTAGGGTTACCAACTTCCTAATCCCCGAAAACCAAGCACCCCTGCCCCGCCCCATCCCCTACTTGTCCCCCCACCCCTGCCCCGTCACTCACTACCCATCTCCTGGGACTCACCTGCCGCCTCCAGAGCGGGGAGGACCTGACATGGAGCCTGCCTGCCTGCCCAATTGGGGCACAGCAGGAGGCTGTGGTCCCTGGACCGAGGGGCTAGGGAGGGGAAATCGGGCCACAGCGGGGAGGGCATCGATCCCTGGGGCCAGGGTGGCAAAATCCGGGCACAGCAAAGTGAAGGGGTCCGGGGGGGTACCCAGAGCAAGGGGCCAGGGAGGGGAAATCGGGGCACAATGGGGGTGGGGTGGGGAAGTCAGGGCACAGGGGAGCACGGATGTTGGCCCCTGGAGCAAGGGGCTGGGGTGGGGAAATAAGGGCTCAATGGGGCAGAGGGTCTCCGGAGTGAGGGGCTGGGGAGGGGAAATTGCGGTGGTGGGGGGAATTGGGGCACAGTGGGGCTGCGGGATCCATCCCTGGAGCGAGGGGCCAGAGAGGGGCATTCTGGGCTGGATGAGAGGGAAGGGGGGAGTCAGTCCCTGGAACGAGGGGCCAGGTGGGAAATTGGGGCACAGTAGGGTTGGGGAGTCCTGGAGTGAGGGGCGGGAGAGTCCAGCCCTGGAGCGAGGGGCCAGGGTGGGGAAATTGGGGCACACCAGGGCAGGAGATGGGGGGTTAGTTCCTGGAGAGAAGGGTGGGGAAATCAGGACACAGTGGGGCGGAGGGGCAGACAGGTTACATATCTCCCCCCCTCAGCTCCCTCCGACGGCCTCTACTTTGAAGCCCAGTCCAGTAGCCACCCCGTTCTGTGTCAGACGGGGTGGGGGGGGCAGGAAGAGCAGCAGCTGCTAAGCCGAGCTGTTCCCCCATGCTCCAGCAGCAGCTGCTGCTCTTCCCACCACCCCAGTGGCAGAGGCCAGTTACTGTAGGTAACTGGACTTCTAGTGTCCAGATGCTGCCAGCCCAGTTTCCCTTTTCGACTGGATCTTCCGGTTGAAAACCAGACCTTTGTCAAGCCTATCTGGCACTAGGAACACAGCAGCAGGCAGGCTGCTACTGCAGGGGACTGTTCTGCTGTGCAGCGCCAGGGCTGGAGGCAGGGGCTGATTGGGGGGGGGGGGAGGGATTCCCCTCCCCCAGCCTCTGGAGTGGTTGCCTCCAGCTGCTGTCTGAACTTAGAGACAGTATGCCAACACTCACTCTCCCTCAACACAAACTCTGTCTCTCTCACATACACACTCACCCACCACCCACTGTGTCTCCCACACACACACTCTACACTCTCCCCCCAATCTAGTAGCATGCCCATGGAACGATGGGATTGAGAAACATTCATCATATGATGTACTTGCCCCATGAGGCACTGTAAACCCTTCTCACAGGACCCTGCGGCCCCTTGGATAGTGGGATCGCTACCACACAGCACTGCTCTGTGTGTTGATGCAAGAAATGCTAGTGCGGATGCACTCGGCCAACACAAAGTGCATAGTGTATGGATATGCAAAAGCAGTTTAATTAAAGCGATGGTGTACATTGACATAACTTTTGTCAACAAAACGCTGTAGTGCAGACAGCCTAAGTAAGCCTCATAATCATGTCTTCGTTGCAATTCCCATTTTACATGAGGTAACTGGAGATCCACAAGTTAAGTGACCTGTCCACCATCACACAGCAAGCCTCTCACAGAGCTGAGAAGCATAGAGTAGAACTTGGTGATGTTCAGCAGTACAATGATGGCTTTAAGCTCCAATGAGATGGGAGAAGATAGTAGAATGAATGCAGACATTCTCTGTCACCCCATCCCATGACCCAAATGAGAGCACTATTCATGGGTTTTTAACATGGATTAGGTTCTGCAGACCCTGCCTTTGCCCATAAAGCTGAAAAAAAAATCACTGAATAAAATGATACTGGTCCAATTTTCTTATCCCTTCCTTTTCTGAGAATGTGAGGATAGCACAGAAGCCCAGCTGCAATAAAGGCTTGGAGGGGAGGAAGAAAGGAAGCCGTGGAATGTGCAGATGGCACATCTCCCATGTTCAGAGGGGTTTATGTACCTAACCCCCTTTTCATTCCATAATGGCAACCACCACAGCCTCCAGCCTGCCCTACCGGAGCAATTGTACACACTCTCCCTGTAGAAGAAAGCGGACATAGTAGACAATATAGGCCAGGGATCGGTAACATTTGGCCCACGGCCCGCCAGGGTAAGCTCCCGGCGGGCCGAGCCGTTTGTTTACTTGCCGAGTCTGCAGGTTCGGCCGATCGCGGCTCCCACTTGCTGTGGTTCGCCGCTCCAAGCCAATGGGGGCCGCGGGAAGCCGTGGCCAGCACATCCCTCGTCCCACACCGCTTCCCGCAGCCCCCATTGGCCTGGAGTGGCGAACCACGGCCAGTGGCAGCCGTGATCAGCCGGACCTGCGGACGTGGCAAGTAAACAAACCGGCCTGGCCCACCAGGGGGCTTACCCTGGCGGGCCGCGTGCCAAACGTTGCCGATCCCTGATATAGGCCATAGTTTGGAGAGTCTGAGATTGACATAGCCTTGTAGAGCCTTTCAGAAATGTCTGATGAAAAGATGAGTAGCGTGATATGGAAGGCAATTAATTAAAAAGACTACACCAGTCCAAGAGTTGTAGAGAACCAGCAGACTTAGATGAGCACAATAGAAAATCTATAAATAAAATAACACTGATGTCCATTGCTCTCCAATGAAAGAAAGAAGATGCAGAGGTAGAATAAGCATCCCATAAACTATTTACAAATCTAAATCAATGACATTGAGGGTTTTTTGGAAGGGCAAAGTAAAAAAGGGACATGAGAAAGTTATTACTGCCTCACACTGTATGAAGACAACAAATGAAGTGGAACAAAAGTTGAGTATTAGGGAAAACAAGCTCAATCACAGCTCTGGAACAGTAATTCATTATCCAGCCTTGTTTGCAAGACACCAACTTCAGAAAGTGGAAGAAAACATCTAATTATAGCTGTTGGAGATAGAATCACATCTATGAGAGACTGACAGGAGTAAATTCACAATTTTAAACATCTGCAGGGTAACAAGGTATTGGCATCCTCAAAGGGTACTAAGGGAGCAGGCAATAACGGAGATGCGATAAGGGGGATAAAACACAGGGGGGGGGGGGCGGGGAGCAGCCAACAACATCCACAAAGAAATGGAAAAAATTAGGATGGAAATCAGCTGGTCTAACCTGAAGATAAAGGACAGAATGAAAACCCAGGAACATTTAATTGTCTGACAAGGTCATTTTATTCACAGACCAGGTCTGGTCTAGACAACTGCAGTACAATATACATTTTTTCACATAAGCTTGGAGCCAGATTTTAATTTTAGCTATAGAGAAGTGAATTCAGAGTATGACACTGAAATCGATGTGGATTATACTGTTGCAACTAAAATAAGAATTTTTCCCTTTGCCTCATCATCTGCAGTGTGGGCGACAATTCTGTCCATTGCTAGCAAAAGTCAAAAGACTAGAAAATGTATTTCTAGAAGAAAAATAGTGTCAATTATAACAAAACAATCCTGAGATTCATAGTCAATTTTTAGTCATTCCTTATCCAGGCAAACTCCTACTGATGTCAATAGGAATTTGCTGAGTAAGGATTTCAGGATTTGACTTTTAAAGATGACACAACAAAGGAAACATGCAGAAAGGCAGGGCGAGAACTGGTTAGAATCAAAGGCACATTCTATATCCATCTAACCAACGTAAAAGTTAAATCTTTACTATATCTTCAACTTCAAAATCTTCCTTAAATAATCTCTAGTTCTTTTGCAGATGAGAAAGCAGGCAGCCTCTGATTTACGAGCATTGAGAGCAGAGCTGGCACAGAAGAAAATTCAGTCATCTTTAATACTTCAGTCTGAAACACCAGTATTTTAGAAGGATCGCATTACTTGAGATTGTGTAATATATTTGTATAGAAGCTCAGCATGTCAGTATTGTTTTTATGTTCCTATGCTTTTATTGTAAAGAGACTTTTCAATATGTAAGATAGGATAATTGTATATGTTAAAATAGAGGTATATCATGTATTTAAAATGCCTTAAAATAGCTCAAGCTAATAATTGTAACTCAGTTGTAATTCACTTATACTCATAAAACATGCAGTTTAATCTATTAGCGTGTTTATTTTTTACTATAAGCTAATCAAATGTAAAGAAACAGCATTAAAAAATTTTCAAATAGTGAATTAGCATAACACGTCAATTTTATATAATGACGATCAATACGGAATTGTAATTTGTAGTATACCCATAATTGTGGATAAAAGTGTATTTTTGAGGTACATATAGCTCAATCAGTTTAACCCACAAAATACTGAGGTTTCAGATATCTACCTCATTGTGCTTTGAAATTCAAGCATTGTAAACATACCTATCTCTAAATTATCATATCAGTTTTGTTGTTTCTTTTCCTTCTCTTAAGTGTAGCTGCATTGACAATCAAATGCCCTTGTCCTAGCCCTGAGGTTGTAAATAAGATCATCGTCAGTCTTACATGAAAGAAAATGTAGAGCACACCGTATTTATTAACCAAGTTCAGAGGGGAGGCAACAGGCATGTTCCGGTGCGGAGTATCAGATCTCTGGAAGGGAAATAGTACCCCCTCCATGTTAACTTTTTCCATTCTCTCCTGCTTGCTCCCTTAGTTCCAAAGGGTATTATATCTAGCAAAGCAGTAAGCTGCAAGAGGTTAATGTGAAGCTGCCACAAAACTGACAAGGCTATACTAATTATTGCAAGTGACAGAAACAGACAGGATGTCAGTAATAGGATGTGAAAGTTCTTGCAACACTTTCAAAAGGAGGAACTCTAAATCTTGTGAGCTATACTACCTCTTGGTCTCCAATGTAATCCTTCTTGAAATCCTTCCATAAAGCCTTCCCAGCAAATGAACCAGTCAACCACCCCCTGTTCCACTTCAAGATTGGAACTTAAATCCTATGAATCTGAACTGTATTGTCTAGAACCAATTTAGATTTCAAACTCTAGAAGGAAGGGACTGTCTCTTTTCTGTTTATACAGCATGGAAAACACTAACAGTACTTAATAAATAAGAGCAGAGGACTGGGCTTCTGGGTTCTATTCTCTGCAGTGATACAGAAAACTTGAAATTGTAAATAGCTCAATTAACGTAGTTGATGAATCAGATTCAAGTGTTTACTTTTAAAGTTTTAACAAAAGTTAAATGAAATACACAGCAGCAGATGAAAAGAGATACCACAGATAAAGGTGATATAGTGCCTTTTGTTTTACAAGTGTAAGGAATCCAGATCCAGTCTGTGACCCCCTGATGTCTAGAGGTTTAGTTATGGCTCTGCAGCAGCATCCCTTTTCCTCAGCAGCACTTCATGTTGGGAGGGGAGTTACGAATTGACCAGTCAACCACACACCCCTCATTTGGAACCAGAAGTATGCAATCAGGCAGCAGCAAAGACCAAAAAAAAAAAAAGGCAATACAATATAGTACTGTGTTAAATGGAAACTACTAAAAAAATAAAAATAAAGGGGAAGTTTAAAAAAAAGATTTGATAAGGTTTCATTTGAATTAAGATGGTTAAAAGCAGCATTTTTCTTCTGCATAATAAAGTTTCAAAGCTGTATTAAGTCAATGTTAAGTTGTAAAATTTTGAAAGAACCATAACGTTTTGTTCAGTTATGAACATTTCAGAGTTACAAACAACCTCCATTCCCAAGGTGTTCATAACTCTGAGGTTCTACTGTAACTTCAGTTGCAAGTTATAGCATAGTCAGGGCCTAACTTGACAATGTTAGGTATTTAAACCAAAATCCTGATTAAGGAGGGGGGGGGGATGTCAGACTTCTATTAATTATTTCACTGTGTCCACAGACTCTATAAGACAATATCAACATTTAAAAAACACTTAATTTGATATACTAAGTGCATACATGAGTAGTTCCACTAACTTTAATGGGAATACTCACAGCGTATAAAATTAAACTGAAGCGTAAGTGTCCACAGGATATGGGCCTATCTTTGTAACAAATACACAGTAGGACTAGAAAACAGTTCTTTCTTCTTTCATTGCAGTATGTTCAAAGACAAAGCATACACTCAGGAGATTTGGATTACACCTCACTTTTAAAATGTTATATACAAAAAAAGACTCTCTCCAAAACAGTTTAGTAGATAATTTATTTACGAAATAATCCTTGAAACATTACTAAAAAACAAATATTGTATTTTGCTTCTAGGAAGATGAAAGTGCCATGAATTGTTCTTTTGCCTCAGCCTTAATATTTCCTTTCTATTTTAACAAAACTTTACTGAAATACGCACACACATACATCAATCTCTATAAATGTTTGCAAATATTTTAATATTTCATTCAAAATTCCCCTGGCACAATAAATCATCATCAGAAAATATTATGACTAACCTGAGATTTTCTCATTCTGAATATTTTCACATTTTATAAGCAACTAGAAATGAACATAGGGTCCTTTTATTCAGCCCGAGTTTTGTGTAAAGAAATTTGAAAAACACCACTCTAGATCAAGGAATCTATCCTCTTAGTTGTCAGGAATCACAGAATTTCAAGATGAAAAATTATCTATTAGATTATCCAATCCATCTCTCTACTGATACAGGATTCTTCTCTCGGCAAGATCTACATGAAATTGATCTAAAGACAGAGATTTTCTCCACTAGCATCAGAAATTACAGCAGTACTGTGACTACAATCATCTAATTCAAAAATGTAGACACTTAAAAATGTTAATTATGAAATCAATGTGTTTAGACAGGTCATAAGAAATGCTTATCATATACACTTTAGAATGCAGCTTTGAGCAAAATGGGTGCAAGCTTTCTTTGAAGCCTGAGGTTTTCTGGCTTTTGAAGTTGTAAAAAACCTCACAATGTTATGTAAACATAAAAAGAATATTGAATTCTTCAGTTTCACTGGCAACAAAGCTAAATGCTACAAATAATTAAAACCTTCACAACTAGTCGGTGTATATTTTTAGATATAAAGTTTACAGAATAAAGCACAGTAACTGGTTATGATAAAGCATTTGTGTTGAGCAGAACACCTCATTCTCATATGCTCTCTTTTAAATGATTCAACACACATATGTTGTTAATATATATTATGAGTGTCGAGTTCAAGGTCTGATGCCAGTTATGAAAATGAGAATAACCAGAACCTGTTAAAACAGTGTTAATGCAATGTTAAATACTTTCTAAGGTATAAAAATACTGCCTTAAGCAGAGACTGACAAGATGAAGTTTTGCTTGTAACCAGTGCATGCTTGCAAGAAGGCATAATACAGAATATTAGCCATAACTACCAATTAATTTTCTACATTCTAAATCCAGAGGTAGTGTTCACTATCTTATATAGTTGCTATGGTCTCAAGGCTCGCCACATTGCTTCAGTCTGCTGCTCTGCTACAGAACTTCTGGAGTAGTCAAGACAATTTCCATTCCACATGCCAATACCCCTTAAACCACGTTTCTTTGCATACGTTGCCTTCAGGGAAATGCTCTGTGGATTATCGTACCATACTTGATGAAAATGACCAAGAGAGTCCTATAAAAAGTTGATAAGTACATTTGTGTTAGCATATATAAACACCGTATACAAAGAGGTTAAATGCAATGAATCAAAACTATAATTATAAATGAAGTAAAAACTCAGATGAATAAAATGTGTACAATGGTTTTCCAGACTTACATTTAAAAGCTCTACAAACAAGACAATCTAAAATTCCATTTCCAAAAGTGCAAAGAAGCTCCTGAAAAGGATTTGTGTGTGTTTGGTTTAAAACCAAACACAATCAAACCAACAACCCACAACTCCAGCTGTCTTTCTTCTACAATGCATAGACCAATAAACATCTCTGCTTTCTTACTAGTATGCTTCTCTGATCTCCAGACAAACAACCACAAATGAGTTACAAAGATGTTTGTATTAATTTAGGTTAAATGAGATGACTAGATCTGTGGGTATTTTAATGATAAATTTAATTTAAAAAGCTGATAATATCAAAGGCTCGGGCTAGGATTTCAATCGTGTAGTCTAATCTAATAAATGAAATTAGGTCACAGAGTATGTGGTTTTGTTCCTAGCAATAAACATAGATTTAGAGAAAGTTATGGAATTTTGCCAAATAAAAATTATATTGCTTTCAGCTGGTGATTTTTAAGAGCTTTTAGTCATCAGTGCATTAAAGTTATACAAAATTTAATACCAAGTAACTGACAATCCATCACCAACGGAACCATAAGAAATATTTACAGCTTTATCAGTCCACAATAATAATATATGGGCTCAGTCTTCCACTGCATCCAGATTGAGTTTGGACACAGTGAAGAGGGGAAGCCAAAAGAAGACAGTTGCAGCTCCCTGATCTTATGCCACCCAGCACCAGCAGAAATTAAGAGCAGCTGGGAGCCTGTTTTAACTTACATCACTGGCATAAGGTTCCTTAGGGGCCTTCTGACAAGGGAGGATAGGCATAGTGGAACTCTGTCCTACCAAATCCCCTTCCTGGCATTACATGCATCCTTCCTCTCAATGAAGAGGTGGTAGGCTAGATCAGGAGCCAGCTCTGCCGCTTCTGCCAGCCTTGTGTAGGGGAACTCTCCATTGACATAAGTTAAACTGGAATCTATCCACTCTGCAACACATGAGCATCACAAAGTGGACAGATGACACCTGAGAATCTAGCTTTACAAGAACAGAACTAAGGTTCATGTACATTTAGTCCACAGCTCATAAACGTTTGTCTAGGAAACTGCTTACCTTATATTCATAATATGGAGCCTTCTGCTCCTCATCCCACAGGCTCCCAGAAATAGAACTATTCACCTGCTTCATTATTGTTCCATAGGTGACCTGACGCCCTGCAGCATCACTGCATGGAGCCCCTCGGAAAGAAATATTTGGGAGGGAACAAACGTGATCCTGAAAAAACAGGAGTTCTGGTTCATGTTACTTGGATTTATTAAACCTTTCAGAAGGGATAAGCCTGGAAGAAAGTCAGAAAGAGGCACCTGCTAAAAATAACTAAATATCCACACCAGATATGGATTACTATCTGTTTCAGTAAAATGTAGAGAAAGAAGTTCAAATAATTCAACTTTAATTGAAATAAGTAACTTCCAGCTCCTCATACCAGTCTACTATGGGA